CCGCCAACAGATATACAGGGGGGGGGGAAAAGAGTCACTTCCCTCCACATTCAAAACGCAATTAATTACAAACTGCGAAACCAAATCAAATGAGCCCAATTGCATATTAAGAGCACATTCTAGTCTATCAAAAATTACATGACAGCCTTCTACACCGACGACATCAGAAGATTTTCCCACGGAAACATGGTTCACGGTACGAGCTCAACGAGGTCGTCGAGGTACCATAGACCATTACGACGTCCCTGAAACGCTGGTCAAAAGCGGTCTTGCACAGTCACAGCTAGTGTCTCTGGGAAGCTATTCACCAGTTAATCGATTGAAGAAATTATGTAGCAGCTTCAGGCCGGAGCGATTACGGTAAGCCTCGTTGAGCTCGACGGTGACGGCAGATGACGTCATATTCTGAAGACGGTGAGGGCAGTGAAGGAGGGCCTGCTTCTGCTTATGGGGGACACCTAAGGAATATTCTGCCGTAAAACATTCATTAACAACGGCATCCTGTGCGAAGAAGGCGATGTCGTCAGCGTAGAGGATGTCTTCAGTGGTCCCTCCATGAGCCCCTTCACCAGGACATCTAGTGTCAGGAGGAGGAACGGGCTCAGAGCTGACCCTTGGTGCACCCCAACCGTGATGTCCACTTCCTTCGTTAGGCCGTGTGGGGTGCGTATAGCTGCCCATCGTACATGTCCTTCACCAGAGAGATCAGGTGTTCTGGCACGTTCCATTCCTGAGCGATCTCCATATTACTGCTCGCGGTAGCCGACTCCTCGTTCCAGAACCACGCTGCCTTGTCTCCTCTGAATCCACCTCGCGTCTCGCCCAGTACCTCCTTGGCGCATCGTAGGATGATCTCAGCTGCATTGCCCAAGTCTGCTGCACTGGTCCCTCCGGATCTGGGAGACCAGCTTCCATTATCTTTCGTCTGAGGTCATCCATTCTTGGCCTTGTCTTCTTGGGGAGGTCCATGGCAATGTCTGCCAGGAGGGGCCTGTGCTGGGGAGCCAGTTCTTCGCCAGGGAGTACCTTGATGTCCTTCACAGTTCTGAGGGATGATCTTCTTACCAGCACATGGTCGATTTCCGTTTGTCTCCCTCCACTGCTGTAGGTTACCTTCTGAGTCTCCCTTTTCGCGAAGAACGTGCTGCAGATTGCCAGATCGTGGGCCGTAGCCAGGTCCAGGACCCTCTCTCCCTCGTTCCTCATCCCTCTACCTCCGTGCACCCTTTCCAGGCCTCTTCTGTCACTGCCGACGTGACCATTCAGATCACCTGCTATGGTGAGGTAGTCACCTTCTGGAATCGATCTGATGGCATCGTCAAGGCTGAGATAGAACTCGTCCTTGTCACTTTCAGGGGCATCCGGCTTGCGGTGCGTACACGTAGAGTATGGTCGAGAACACTCATGTCAATAAAGTGACGCGTTGTGTCAAAATCCACAACCCGCGTTCATGTGCTTGGGGGGGGGCCCCGGGACGGGGTGCACCAATGTAGCCATTTACGCATTGGAACTAAGCTTAGCGGCAGCGGCAGAGGTTTCTGGGAATCAGGTATGGAGCGTGTGGTTGTGATCTCCTGCGTGATGGTCCCTGCTTTAGGACTCAGCCTGAGTGTCACCAGGCTATTATGAGCACCTGGTATCCTTCACCAATTTCCGATCAGAATTCTGGGCAAGTTCTCACAAAAAGAAACCTTTTTCCACTATTTTTGATAAGTCTACAGATGTTGTGGAAAAACAACCTTATTCCTACTAGGATTAGAATTCATAGAAATGAATGATAACATCCTGGTTCAACTTGTTTACCTTAGGGCATATGTAAGATAGGTATCTAATGAGATGATACCACAGGCATGACTTGGCAACATCATAAGTGTGCAATCAGGTGTGGAATTACGAAATGCCATTAATACGCCTCAATTAACATTACACGTCACTGGTTACGATATTCATTGGCTAATTAACCAAAACGGAGATAACTAGAGTGAAACTTATGCGATGTTCGAAGGCACGTGGCCATTAGCCAGCCGCGGTCTAAAAGAAAACAAGAGAGTAAAGGCAATGCTAACCAAGGGGAAAACACAGTTTTATTCACCGAGTTCACAGAACGTTCCCAATGAGAAATCAATAATTGATGAGTAATTTAACCACTGAGACGTAAGCAGAAGTTCTACCCGTACAATCAATTTCTCAGCGTATTCCATTCTAATACTCAATTACAATGTCTACATTAGTTAGATTTCTCTAATGACATATTCGAGGCATGAAATACTTTTTATAAGCAACTCAGGGTAGCATCATCAAAATGATCACTATCAATACAAGTTTCAAATGCACTGAGCTAGAGATTATTAATTTTACACTCAATTGCTCTCGGCAAACTTTGGAGCTAGCCTCGACTTTCGGACACGGTGAGCTCGAGATGAGGCGAAACCACGTGATGGAGGGATTGCATTAGTGCCACTATTCGCCGCAACATCACCTTCTTGGTTCTGCTGGTCTGCACGTGTCAGTGTGGAAAGTTGCTTCCCACCTCGTCTACGGCGTGGCTTCCTACATGGTAGTGTGACCTTAAAATATGATGGTTCAAATGTAGTTGGTAAATTGAAATAAACAAACTTCTGTTGAAAAGCGGAACCATTCAACAGCCAAACGGCTGGAAGGAACTGCTGAGAACAACAAAAACCATAAAGAAACTCAGAACTGAAAGAAACACATGTGACATACTGAAGAAGGCTTCAAGTCGGTAAGCTTGGGGTCATTGGGAGTTTGCTGGACGTTAGCTCGATATAGGTGACCATTCGGTGGCATGGGACACGGTAGAACAGGAATTGAAATATTATTGCGCTAGAAAAGGTTATCATCTTTGACCTAGCCACAACAACGTTTGAAATACTATTTAAAAATTGAACCTGCATGGCAGGGGCTCTCTTCCGCTGGTTCCCTCTGAAGGGAACATTTCCTCTTCGCATTAGGAGAGTTCCTAAGTCTGCAGGGAAGGGAGCATTACTCACAGGAGTTTGCTGCACCTTCAGGGTTGAGAACGCATTCGTGCAGTTCTGTAATGAAGAGAACGAGAAGAAATACTTCCAGCGATGCAAGGTATTCAACTCAAAACAATACCTCATTGTGATTTTGGGGACCTGCAGGAAACAACTTCGTGAAGGCACTTGGTTGACCAGTTCCGCTTAACTTGGGCTCCACAGTTACATTTTTATCGTTACAAGTGTTCTCCGACGAGATTGCAAACAGCTTGAGTACTGATGATGTTTCCTGGATATCGTAATTTTACACAACGCATTCAACGTATTCGATGCTACCCACATACCTTTCCAATCCTCATTTTTGGTAGCAACTCTTTCGTTTTTCGATGTTTTAATCCCAAGCAGAGATGCTAATTGGTTTTCGACAAGTTCTTTCTGGAAAGAAAACATATTCGTTTGGAAACTTGTTAGGGTTTTAACCGAAAATCACAAGAAGGAACGCAAAATATCAGTCAAAAAAAAAACAAATAGAGGAACAAAACTATAAACAAACCGAAATAGCGAGGCTCTCGATTGGAGGAGGATGAGTGGCGATTGGATCCGCTCCAGAGTTTAAAATTGGAGGTGTTGCAATATTAGCTATAATCAGACAGAAAAAATTATAACTGCGGTAAAAAATAAGGAAGCACAAGTAGAACAGCTGGGGTAATTCTGTGAGCTTGTTGTATCTAAGCTGTCTACGTGCACCATCTTGAACGGCTCACTCTATTGTTATGGAACTAACATCTACGAGAAATTGCAGCCTAGAGGAGATGTAACCATTTTTGTCAAAAGAACAACCTAATGACATGAGAATCCAGAAGTTTCATAAAAAAATTTTGCAAATAAATCTGGCGGTAGCGAAGCATCAGTTGCTACATACAAAACTGTGAGGTTGTAGCACTGAGGCACTTGAAAGTAGGCCTCCCTCGATTGAAAATGCTCTCAAGGAAGAGGAGACTATGCCATGACTGGCAGTTAAAGTTTGTGGTTAGTTGTTCAGTTGCGGTTGACTTAGTTTTGGTGTTGTTTACTTTGTGGTTTGAGCTACAAAATTACGTGCGCGATCTAGAAGTTAGATGACCAATCCCTTTAGAGGTGCGCCATGCATGCTTCCATCGAGATCGTAGTAGCATTCGGATGTAAAAAGCCCGTCCAGTGACTTGCGGGATCCAGCCGAATAATGCATCGAGTTATTGTTTTAGCCTCCAGTATCGGATCAACTTGACTGACCTTGAACGGGGTGCAAATTTTTGTTTGGCCTGTGGTCAAATTCCGAATTCCAAGAGGATGACCCCCGATGATATGCACATGGAGATGCGCAGACTCCACTAAGCCCCATCTTGGTCATAAATTTTTCTAGACCCGGTTTGCCACACACCATCTACGCCAGAATGTCCCTGGGGCAGGTTTCGCTTGGTAACATATCATTCTGATGTTTTCTCCATATCTTACTAGCCTTGCAATAATTGGAGAAAATTCGAATTGGAAGAAAAAGCAGTTTACAGCTAAACTAAAATTCTACAATTAAAATTTTAAAAAAATTAAGGCTATGATTCAAAATCCAGGGTTGGTCTGCTTATGTACCTATTATCTCATCTAGGCGCTAGGAGCTCGAAACTCCATTTATAGAATGCAGGATAGCTTCCAGACTACTCTTCCCACGAGATCCTTCTATTCTTTGTTCATCCGCAACGGAATAATGCAATATTATAGTGAATTATGTTGCATGCAGGCTCTCTGCGCAGCCGTGCACTACGTTTTGAAAATTCAGTGCCACCCGCACCAAACGTATCAATAACAGCTTAACTTTGTCAACAAACCTTTCATAAGTGCAATTTTCTGAAGTTGTTCAGATATTGATTGCCCTTGTTGTATGCCCAGTGGTGATAAATGTGCTCCTGACAAACTGCTCTAAAAAGGGGAGGATGAGTACCAAATCTCAAACACAATCAATTTCTCACCTTTTGCTTGACGGAGATGAAATTTTCTTTGCCTGCAACCAGACGTTTTTCTTTCTTCACACGATTGTGACGATATTCTCTGTGTTTCTTCACTTCTTCAGCCGTTGGAGTAGAACGCCCTTTCCGTGATTTACCATAAGTGATGTTGATAAGAGAGGTTTTTGCTACGCAAGCGCCACTGTTTCTCGTTCCTCTGAAAAGGTATAAGCTTTCCCTTGGAAACTCACACTATGCCCTCTCTCAGTAACTATGGTTGCCCGCAACTCTAGCTCTTCCAAATGTCTCTTAGGATGGTATCAGAGTCCGCGATCGCGCAAATCGCGCGATTCGCAAAATCGCAAGTGCCCCATTTGAACATTTGAAACACTGAATATGAAACAAGTAGAATCATGAACAGTCGTCATTCAACCATCACCATCAAGCAGAAATGGCGGCGGATTGGAGAGCACCTCGCAGTATTGATCGGGGCACTTGTGATTTCTGTGATCCGTCGCGCATTCGCGCGAATCGTGCGACGGATCGCGGACTCTAACACCATCCGCGTGGTGTCTGCATCATATCTGTCTCAATTTTTTTCACAAACTCCTCAATCTTCAAGCAAACACGATCGTCATCAACATATATGTAACTAGTTCTAAAGGCTGAACGTCCATGAAAAAACGTCGACGTGAGGGTAGCAGGAGCATTTTTGTAGGAGATTAGGGGATTTCGGAAGAATTTGCAGAGGCACTGCGACAATTTGCTTGCGAAAGGCTAGCGCGGAATAGGAATCTTCGAATTTTTTTCAAATAAGTAAAACAAATTCCTTGGTAGTTTCTGGATGACTTGGGGTGAATACAATAGAAGCGATCAAGGAACGAAGCAAGGGGGTGGACGACGCCGATTGGAGACGGAGCATCAAAAATTTGTGCAATTTTTGAACGTTTTTTTCAGTCAGTTACTCGAACAAGCATAGGCTATACGTCACTTAATGAACAGCTAAATAAAATAAATACTGAGAGATAATTAATTAAATAAATAAATTAAGAAATAAAGCGATTCTTCAGGTGATCGATATGTACCCCTCACTATGGGCGCAATTGTAGTCGGTCGTCCGATCGTAACGATCGCACAGCATTGGATGCGTATCGATCATCGGACTTTCGAGGATTGGGCAATCGATACGTATGCAACACCATGCGATCGTTATGATCGTTAGGATAGCACGACCGACTATGAACGCGCCTTATCAGTGATTGTTGTCAGTCATTGACTTATTTAATGTGCTGCCTTAAGAAGGTTCAGCGTATTTGTTTGTTATTTTGGATGGGAAGGACTTGAGGTCGATTCAGAGGTTCCCCTGATAATCATATAGTAAAGGATAAAGCTTTTGCCGTTGATCAATCCCGTCTTGGGATGCGGCACGCATTCCACTTCCATTTGTACATTCGTAGTGGCGTTTGAATGCGATGTGGCCTATACAATGACTTGCGGGGGCCAGCCGATGTCCAAGTTCAGTTGCTATTTTATCTCGGTTCCATGTACAAGTCTGGTACCATTAACCGATACTCGGAGTCGGATTGGAGGACTTGGTTGGTCTCTGGGCGACTCACGACCCAGCGATTTGAAATTTTTCAACCGGACGTCGTGCTAGTTGAGCGTGCCATTGCCACTACACCACCTTCCGACAATCAACCAATATAGTATGATTCACAAATTTCTAGGAGTCACAAGAGTGGAAAGCAATCACGTAGAGGACTGGTCAGCCCATTTCGGTGGATGGACTTTTCAACTATTTTCGGGACCTCGAACTGTGCTAAAAGAAGTGTGGTCTTGACCAAGAATATCGACCAAGCAGACATACTTTTTGAGTCGTGGAAACAGCTGTTGGGGTTTCATCACCATCGATCTTTGCCGTTAATCACAGTAGACCTGACTAGTTACAGAGCTTTGGCGAAGTATCCCGTGGTCAACTCACGAACGCTCCCCACATACGGGGATTTTCTTAATTTGCTGATTTCTCTGCCTCTTTTGATCGATACAACCACTTGTCCTCCCGCGTTTAGTTGGCAGAGTCGTCACTTCTTACTCGCGAGAACGTGGTTTTGCTTCGTACAGGGAGACTGAGAAAGTAGTAATAGACTGCATTCGCTCTCGCGCTCTCTGTGCATCAGCTCAAATCTTGCTAGTATGCTTCCCCATTTATGTGGGGAGCTTTCCAAGGAGTTCCAATGAAAAGCATACTACCAGCGAAAGACGTGGGCGGAAACGTAATTCTTATGAAAGTATTCAGGGATTGCTCATCTCGGAGTTTCTACTTCCCCTTACAAACTCTCTCCAATTTCAGACACACCAGTCATGACATTTTCCCTAACCACTTTTCCATTTCTCCAAGAAAAGTCCTGAAGGAACAGAGATTATCAATTTTGTTACGAACTCAAAGATCCTGAGGTTAGGTCCTTTTTTCAGAAATAAAAGGTCTCGAAACTTTATGATTTATACTCGATCGTTCTTAGATATCTACCAATAATAACTGTGTAACTTTTTTCTTATGGAATTACCTGATTTTATAGCCACTATTGAACTCATGGTCGAATAATACATCAACTTTTCCAGATGAGAGGCCAACCACTGTTCCTTGAGATCCGAACGGAATCGTTGTTCCCTGAAATAAAATAAGTGCTGGTGGCATTTATTATACCATCACGTGATAAGTGAAGTAATATGCACGACGACTGCTTTTCATTTCGACTAATAGAACCCTCTTCGATCTAATAAAAGATTTCCTTATAAAAGCAGGGAAAGAGAGCTACTCCTCGCATTAACATCCATTCTATCACAGTTGATTCTATAGGGATGGATAAAAGATAAGACGCTCTGCGTCTGATCCCTTTTCTGATAAGCCACCCATTCTACTTCCACTTACAATTACACGCCATTTACGTGTTACACAGTGGACTAGCGGGGGCAGCCGATGTATGTTGTGTATTAGAGGTTTTCCTCGGAGAAGTCTGGTATCACCGTACCGATCCCGGAGAGTTGGAAGTCTCATTGGCCTGGAAGTCGCACGATCCCGGATTCGATCCAAGGACCGCGCACGTGGTATCAGCGCCATTTGCCACTAGACACACTACACCCACGTTCGCCCATTCTATGACATATTCTATGGCAAACTAATCAAAACTGGTAGATAACAAATGAGCAGCGGTTGCTTACAGCGATGACGATGGTGTAAAGAAAAGTGGTATGCGCTCACATTACTCTAAACTGTAGTGTTCCCGCAAGACCAAAATGAGATAAGGGCCTGCAGTTAAAATGGTGAACAAACCAAACACTACAAAACGTAGACAAAATTAATCTTATCTCACCTGTAAAGTATAAACAACCCGATCTAGCAATATGAAATCAGCATCTGGATCAGCACAGCATTTGCCACCGTACAGCTCAGCCTGAACTGCTCGGCTGCATGTCATTATTTCAAAAATGATCACAATTATGAACCAAATCACAAATTGACGTACTCGATATAGAACACCGGGATTAATAGCACACTTCCGGAATCCCCACCGCTTCTTTGGCACCTCCTTGATGGCATTTTCTATATGAGCTGAAATTGATACAATAAATTAGGTACGTCAATGAGGAAAATACGCATTGGAAAAATTCTTCGCTTCTAAGCTTAAATTCAGCGTTTCTATAATTCGAAATCACAAAATAGAAGATGAAACAACCAAAAATTCACCTATAACAAGGCGATCGACATACTGCTTTCCACCTTCCTGCTTTTCCATACCGTACGTTGGAACGCTGCACAGGAACTCTTTCAATTCAGACACACGCTCCTATAAAACCTTTCTACACTATAGCATCCATTTTCCTTTCCTTTTTGGAACGTTTACTCAGGAAATGCTGATCGCTGCGTACTCTTGATTTCTCAACTATTAGGTTGTCTCATAAAGTGTCGCTTTTTTCAACCAAAAAATTTTCATCTAAATCCCCATGCTTTTACATCGTGTCATATACCATTCGAAAGAGAATTGTCTGCTCTACAAGATGCTATGTTCTTCTTCCACCTCTGTTCCAGGGTTTTCAAATTTTAGGCCTGCGAAATGGGAGGTCCAGCCGACAAAAATTGACCAAACCGACAACTATCTCTAACTTTATCTTCCCTTGGAGAAATCAATCAATGATGTACCCTCTACTTATGCATGACCTCTTCTAAACATTACACTATTAGGTTTCCCAACAAGTCGCGTCATTCCATTTCCAGACCTGGTTTTTCAACCAGAACTCGACGGTCGAGCACCATTACCTGAGATCTAGGTCGAAATTTTTTTATAGCCGAGACATTGAAAAACTAGTAGAATTTAAAGAACAAGTCATGACTAAGTTAGGAATGTACGCCTGGTTGATTTTCTCATCTCAGGGATAATTTTTTTCAAAGAAATGCGGTCACTTTCGTGGATAAAGCACCTTATTCCTAAACACCTAAAATTCGAACTAATTCCCAACAAAACAAATGAGCGAATAGAGCAGAAGAAGTGCTCACAAAAGGAACACCACTCGATATGAAACAATGGCGTTTACGAGGAACAATTTCAATTTGAAAATTGCTATGGCTTATCGGTCAGCCAATTCGAAAAGAAACACGGCAAAGCTTTTTCGGCAACCTAAGAGGTGGAATGTTTAGAAGAGGTCATGAGTAAAGTAGAGGGTACATCATTGATTGATTTCTCCAAGGGAAGATAAAGTTAGAGCTAGTTGTCGGTTTGGTCAATTTTTGTCGGCTGGACCTCCCATTTCGCAGGCCTAAAATTTGAAAACCCTGGAACAGAGGTGGAAGAGGAACACAACATCTTGTAGAGCAGACAATTCTCTTTCGAATGGTATATGACTCGATGTAAAAGCATGGGGATTTAGATGAAAATTTTTTGTTTGAAAAAAAGCGACACTATTTATGAGACAACCTAATACTTATCAACCAATTCCATTTCGCCCCAAAAAATTTAAAATCATCCTTGCTTTCTTTTGTTAAGCACTGTTTTCGCAGCAATTTTAGTTGTCAGTGTTCGCAGTGTTCCCACAAGCATGCGTAGTCATGGAAAAGACACTTTGCTGACCTCCAAATCTCGAGTTGGGATATCGTAGTACAAACAGAATTGTTTTAGTGTTCCGGGAAGGGCAAGGTATTTCGCCCATAGCATGGTTAACATGCAGAGCTCAGCGACATAAGCCATACCAAAGGGCTAGATGAACAGGTACGAGACCTACCTTCCGTCTGGCTTCGTTCTCCCATATATCACTAGCCAGGTAAGCGTCGTCAGGAGTGTGAGATTTCTCAAGGAAAGCGAACAGATCGCGAAATCTGTAACAGCGACTTGATGAAGGAAATCATATTTTTTTGAATTTCTTTCTGAAGTCCAAATTTAGCCTGCATTTACTTATGGCCTTTTTTTGAACTGATGTATCATAGAGCAATACAAGAATTTTGCAGTGGACAGATACGTGGAGGATGACTGTTTGATAATGGTGAAACAAGCTTTCTGTACAATAAAGCATTTTTTCCAATCAATATCCCTACTGGAAGAAGCCATCTACAAAAAAAAATAATGGACGGGACTCACTTATTTCTGTAGCTACTGAGAAGCTGAACACAAAGGTTAGAATATTGCCAATACCCATTTTCAAGTCGACGTGTGTAGTCAGCAATCTAAAATATCAAGTATTCGAATAAGACTCTCATTTCGTAGAGGGCAACCCTAAAATGAGCGTGCCTCTTGATTTCTTTTCGACAATTTGAGGGCCAGTCCTATATTAATTCTTTCTGGCACAGGAGGCGCTCCTTCCGATTCTGGAGCGTGCTCATACAGAAGGAACACTGTTCCAGTAATCCGTGACAACAAGCGACCATCGACTATAATTTTTGAAATAGAGGGAAAATGATTTTATTATTCAAATAAGGTTACCTCCGATTCTACGACCAGCGTCATAATTGCTCATCCACTGCATACTCAGATTATCGTAAGACTCGACAATGGGAGCAAGATCCACAGTCGGCCATATTGACACTGTCAAGCGTACTCTACCTAAACGTGATTGAATTATATAATCACGAAAAGATCCCTCTATAAATTTGTATTTGTGCATATGTCCGCGTTAAAAATGAAATTTTTTTTTCGATAAGTAGAAGAGGATTTCTAAGGTTGAACTGCACTTCGTTCGGAAGCACAAACAAAGTGGGCGCCAACCAAAAGAAAAGCTTGGAACGGGGCCCCTCTAACACAGGTTTCCACATCTTCCAGGAACCTTGTATTCAGGGGGACATCTCTATGAGAACTGCGCTTAATTGAGAAAAAAAAAGAAAAAGATACATGATTAGCGCATAGTGGAGAAAAAAGGCAGCATTATGGAAGGAAAGAAGAACAAAATATTATAAATTTGATAATAAAAAAGCAGCTAGGAAGTAAAAAAGTAACCGGATATCTCAAAGAAGATGGTGCCAACAGAAAAAAGAGTTCGACTAGTGAGGGTTTACAGAAATAATATTCCTGCGCTTATTATCTTAAAAAAATACCATCGCTATCAACTGCGTCGACAAGAGCTGGATATCCGAACCCTTCCCAGGATGGTAGCATAGCAAAAACCTGAACTAATAAACTATTCATTCTGATAGAAGAAGTGTTTAATTTCTCCAACCTTCGAATGTTTTGGATAAGCCTCTGCGACAGGAATATCACGTAAGCTTCGACCGCAAATTCTGCAAAGTTGAGTATTTTTTTATTTTTTTACATTATAAATTATGTCATCAAAAGCACTACCGTGACAAGAAGAGGTAGAAGAACAGGGACAACAGCGCTTTGGTCCCAGCCACTGTTTCTGAGGGTGAAGGACTCCCTCTTCCACTATGTAAGTTATACCGACAAAACGGCGCACGAACACAACTTGCGCGTGAAAGGTTAGCATCAATGCCAAACCGAGAGAGCATTCTAGAATAGAAAGTTTTACAAACGCAAAATCTACAAGCATCATTCTAGCCAGCGTCACCCTTTCTTTCCTTGCGCAATATCGACTCATCACCTTTCTTTCTCATCCAAGAACGAATCCCCAAAACGTTCATCCGCCTGTAATATTACATCTCAAGCTCGTTACCGGCGTGTGTATGCAGTCATGTTCCACAAGGATCCACGGATTGCCAAATCCAAAACGCCAAAATGACCAAGTAAATTGAATACAAAAAGAAGAAATTAGATAAAAATTTCAATCACCTTCAGAATTGGCCAGTCGATGCACACTTCTTTGTCTATGATGTCCCTCGCAACGTTCAGCATATCCTGAGGAATCATTAGCAATAAAATGCTTGGAAAGTGAGCCTCAAAATAAGTTATTTCAACCTTTTCAAATTCATCCCTCTTCTGGAAATAGAACCATAGACGGGCGCTTAGACTCTTGTTGGAAAACCTTGACATTGACCTGCAATAAGTAACTTTGAGAACACTCACTGTAAAACACTGTCTCGTGCAGAAAATAGCTCTTGCCCTTCTGAGTTTAGCATTGCGGCAGAGTCTTCATTGTAGGAAAGTCCGGGGAAGGTAAACATTCACAATTCTACATTGGGAGTAATCCCCAGATGACCTTGTCAGGATTTAAATAGAATGCATCCACCGGAAGTTGAACGGGCCTGAACATATTTTGCGGAATATTCACAGCTAAGAGAACCAAAAAGCAATCCACTCCTGTCCGCTCTGTTAACTGTAAAGAAGAAGCTGCTGATGTTTCGAGGACCTTTTCTTCCGTGTGTCAGGAGACGCACTCTACAGTCGAAAATAAATATATATTGTAAAATCAAAGTAACATGATTATTAGAGTACTTGCTTTTCCATGGCATAACAACCTTTTTTCATCAATAAAAGGAATAAGCACAACTGCTTCCCAGTCATTTTTCTTCCCATTCAAATCGGTACGGAAATCAGTCGGGTAAAAATCGGAGATCGGCGACTCTTTATTACACATGAGATCCTTAAAGTAGAGCTTTTGACACCGCTTCACACTGACTTGAACCAACAAAAAAAGCAGGAATAAAGAATTGTACGCTATACCTTAATTGCTGCGGAGCATCTCGCATGCGGCGGGAAGCACGCCAACAACTGCTCAACGACGTTTGAACGGCTCAACAACTCAAACAATTAAATCCAATGTCGGAAAAATCGACAAACATCGCATATTATGGGAGTAGTGATAAGAGAAAGACTCCATAAATAATAATTAGGCTAAGATTTAGACTCCGAAGGAAATACTAACCAGTTCCATGACACGCAGCCACGGTAGTAGTAATGAAGATTCCATTGAATGGCTCTCACATATCCTTCTGCCTGTTGACGTAGTTCAGTTTTTGTGATGTTTTCATACCTTGAAATGAAACCCCTATCTAAACAAGCGCAAACGTCCAACACGCGTAGTAAATGCATATTACGGCTGCCTAACCACTGACCCCTCAGAGATAGTTTTTGAGATAGTTTTTTGTGCACTTTTTTTTGCAAAGAAAGGCTTTCAAGAAGACGGCCTCTTTGTAACTAATTTTCTATCAAGAATTTTGTTAGTCTAATCAAAAGCAAGCACTTGAAGCGATTATTTCTGACTTCACCCAACGTGCCCAAATAATTAAAGGAGGAATGTACGAAAAATCGCTACTCATTGAAGCTGAATGTATAGAGATTGTGCACTAGGAGAAGGGCGGGGGGGGGGGCATAGGGTGCACTGGTCAAGAAAACCCGCGAGAAAACGACTTATGAGAGACTAAGACCCTTTTCTCGTTTTTGCTTTGGACGCACCAGATACGAAGATGGGCTCGCTTGTACACGCTAGCCCCGATAGCTGTTATCATATCAACAAGCATAATCCTTCCTTGATGACGCATAACCTAGAAAAAACTAAACATACGCCCGCTGCACATAAAATTACCCTTCAAAATAAAATGCAAAGTACGGTTTGGAAGGCGGGTCGAACCACGGCAGGTGGCGTTCAATGTTTGGGATTAGCTAACGGGCGGTGGACGCGCTCTTTGTGGCGACACATGCCTCAACTCACCTCCTTGGGGACTCGCGAACCTTTCGCAATATGCATGCTTGCCTTCTGCCCTTTTTACATGTCCCATTTATTGAAACCTCCTCGTTTAAGCAGCGATGATCAATCACATCACTTTAGAACCAAAAGAAGCGTCGTAAATCGTGTTATGTAATTGCGCGCTAAACAAGCAAAGCAGTGAAGCAAACGACATCAACTATTCATTTAATTATGCTTACGATATGGGAGCCATAGAAACTACATTCTATAAACAAACACGGAACTATCGGCGACTAGGAAGAGTTATGGTTCTCGCTCTGCTGTAACATTGTCATAAAGTGCAACGAGCTAGAAAGAAACCAAAAGATTGGCTTTTTTCTAAGTAGAGTCAAGATATAAAGGAAAACTAGTTCGCAAAGATTTAGTTTATTCTTTTGAGTAAGAGGATTATCCACTGGTTGATCTGAAATACTCCGTTATGTAGAAATTGGAGCCAAATTATCCACTTCTGTTGAAGTACATAGGAACAAAATGACTGATTTTTTTTACCAACTCTGCGAGGGGAGTGTTCTAGTGAGCGTGTCTTTAACACTCCACTCAACACCGTGTCGACAAAAAACAAAACCGTGGGAACTATTTGGTCCCAAAGTAGGACACATGACTCACTGCAATTTTTTCCCGACGATAATACGATCGCTGGCCTGACGGAATGAGTAAACCTGCACACTTTGGTCCAGCAATTCTAAAACCATGATGTCTGTCAAAAATTCTTTAATGAGATTTGAAAGTTTGAAAAAAATACTTACATCTACGTCATTTTCAAAGAGTTGTCATCCATTTCTCTCAGCTCAGCTGCCATGAGTGCTTCGCAAAGCTCGCTTTCATCTTGATCATCATCTGAAATAGAACAAATCTATTTTCAAGTCAACTCAGTACCCACTGTAACGCACCACTGTTGAGATGAGTCAAAAGGTACGAAGCAGACGGAAGACCACCGTCTGGTATTCGATTAGCAATTTCGCCAATATCCGCCTCTTCGTCACTACTAACGAAAGCTGCTTCGTCTTCAAGTGAATCCTCTGTTGTCTCTTCGCACTCATCACTAGACTCAGCGCTTGACAGAGATGACTCTTCGATAATTTGACCATGCTACGAAATAGTTCCAAAAGATTTCACACACTTTGTTTGAAAAGAAGTGAGAAATTAGGCATACCTCCTTCTCCTGGATCATAAGACCTCTTGCTTCGAAGATAACTCTCGTCTTCCATTACTTGTAGAAAATGTTTACGATCGTTTGCAGCAAAAGCTTTCAAGAACACTTCAAAACGTTTCAAATGAAGAATTCCATGACTTCATTAATCAATAAAACCTGCAATCCATTGAGCAAACAATAAGAATAGCGTTTCTCTCCGCGGCAAACACTCGCAATGGGTCCTCTATTTTTCACGGACCTGACAGAAATTGAAACGGAAAGAACATACCGTCCTAAAGTTTGGTAAAACAACTTGAATGCTATCGTCTGATATAGCAGAGGAAGATGCACAATCGAGTCAAATGAATGTGAAACAATGTGGCCAGATAGGGATGCAAATCATTGTTCCAACAAGGAAACCCATCAAAACCCAGTCATCCACTATTCTATCGATATCGTAAGGAAATGGTAAAGACGTCTATAACATTCATTTGCGTCTGATTTCCACTGAGATGAAAAAAACACATAAACCAAAATTAACAGAAGCCCAGTCATACCTTCAGAGGATCAAATTCCCATGAAAGATACTCTCTGAGTAGATCAACGATGTAGGATATCAATATTGAAAATTGAAGACGGATTTGCTTCACTGGAAGCAAAATGCCGAGCCATTTTTCTTTTCGCACACACGCGATTAACACTGTCTTAATAGACTTTTTGAGCAGCAGGCAGCTCCACTTTCTCTTCGATGGAGGACCGCCTGAAATTTTTACCTTGCCTCTGCGGTAGTAACTATGAGAACGAGGCTCGTGAGAGCATAATGGCGAGCATCACTAAAGATGCTCATAATCGTCTGTGACACAACCTATTCGGAAAGTCACAGATTTAAAATACCGGGACGATCCTGGCCTCAAGTCCATTACATACACCTCAAAGAGTATTGAAAGGGTCGCCAGAGGGAACCGGCAATATCCTTTCTGTCGAATAAACTACCATCCACTTTGCTGTTCTGCGCCGAACCTCGATCCCGCAGGACAGCCTACAATACGAGCAGTTAGCCCACCTCTCCATTTTAAGAAAAGACTACGTACCGAGAGCCACATGTCAGGCCTCTACGCCGATCGGGAAGTCAGAGAAATGAGTTGTTTCTTTCAGTCATCTTTCCCTTTCGCACACAATCAGGCTGCAATCCAGATACCCCCTTTTCGATCCCAGTTAGAAATATGAGAATCAGAAGGACGTATTTCCCCTTTCCCGTCACCGGCTTAGTAAATCGGCGTACCGTTTCCGACTAGGAAATTCAATGAGAATAGTTATGGATGCTTTTGACTGCTTAAATTTGCCAAACCAAGCATCACACAAGCACCAACATCGTGTGTCCGATAGATACACCTCGTATGCTTTGCCAAACGATTCTTTTTTCTTTAATCACCTTGCTATTCGCAAACCAGGTAAAAGAGGCGCCTTTGTGAAGCTCCGCCATGAAAACCGTGCCTGCAAGTGGAAAATCACATCTTACCATAAGTGGTATAAAGTTGATAAGGAGAGATATAGAAACAAAAGACACAATCTTGTGGACGCATAAACTTTCTACTCCATTCAATGACTTTCAATTCATGAATCATTTAATAACATCTCCAAGGATTCACTTCTAGTTTACTGAACCATTTCAATCGGGAATACTCGCTATAGTCGGTGACACTGTCCAATGCCTTAAGTCTGGACTATCATCAACCCCTTTGCGGACCTGCCCCGCTGAGATAATCCAACGGCTTCGAAAGACAGGAAACTACAGCCCTGAAGCTCAAATGATTCCTAGACGTCTACCTGAGAGCGGAACTTGTAGGCAACGATGCAATGAGAGTGCGGGCTCACCCACGGGTGAGGTCATCAATGATCAGATCGCATGTTGCAAAAAAGGTCATTCAGGAGCTCATAGAGGTGAGCAGTTCTCCACCATCCCCCATACAACCACTGCATTGCTACTACTGATCAGTGGTTGTTTTCAACCTAACAAATCACTTGATGAAAAGGCTTGAGAACATACGCCGACGAAATCCCGAGCTGGTTTCTCCTACGAGAGCGCTAATCCCGATTTTGAAATGTCATTAGTAAGGCAGTCCAATGCATGATAGAGATAGACCAAGAACAATGGTGGATATATCTCAATTTTGTATGCGCTACGCTTTTCATGAATAAAATAGCCCGGCTTCAAAAAATGTGACAAAACTTTACCGCCAACCCGGAAATAATCTTTCACAAACAGAGTCTCCTACCTCTCCATTCAATTTTTCTGAATTGTGGTGTTCAGTAATCTCAAAAGGAAATACGCTGGCGCTAAAGCGCTACATGATTCAATGACAATCCTGTACGATAAAGCCAGAATCACCTGATGACAAAGAAGTAAACTTTGGTTCAGAAAAAATTCATCGAACTAACCTGGTGTGATGCAGTTAGAATCAAATCGTTTTTCAGTGGGAAGCTCCCCACCTTTCCGCATATGCGCTTGCTCCTGCTCTGCAGCCGTCCGCGCCGACCTTAAAATTTGAAAGTGTCGAACTATACTCCAATGGGAATTCTAGAAATGATCACAAGGAGCACGAACATGAATCTCTGGCACGCACGGCATCTGTGATTCATCTTGGCTCTCGAGTCAACGTACCTATCAAACCGCCAGGAAAAAATAATTTTGGGGGCGAATATGTTGAACCCAACTTCTGAAAACGCAATCTTTTCGAACATGACGGCAGAATTATAAACACCTCAAACTAAAAATGAAATTCTCACATCAATATAGGCAAAAATATCAGAGAAAATCTGCTCTTGAGAGATCCTGAAGTTGACGTCATCGTCATTAGGGTGAGAGCAGTTGTGTATAATTCCGTTCATGTCCAAGTATAAGTTATCGAATTCGGGGATCTAAAAGTAGAAAGAATCATAAGTGTGGACGTCTTAATTACTGGATATTTTGCAAGAATTGTGAACTATGCCATGTCCACTCTTCCTAGAGCACAAGCTGGAATTTAAGTGCTCAGCGCTTCAGAACACCAAAATTTTCCCAAGTAAGCATTTTTTGAAGGGGGCTGAAGTCGATGTGGTGTCCAAGTGCTGCCGCTTGCAGCACGCATAATCCAGCAAGATCACAGGTCGGCGAAATGCGATGCTCTGCTCAACCCAACCACATCGGTACCAGATTTCGGGTGCAAAAGCTCTAACTTGCTCAACTTTCCGGCTGTGCTCGAATTGCAGCAAAATCCAAGCAAAATTACAAAAAAGAGGACCGAAGGGGGGGGGGGGGTGCATCGAAATATTCCGACTGATTTTGGCCCCTTTAGCCTTATAAAAAAAACAAAAAACTCTTGAAACAATTAACAAGCCCCGTGAAAAAAGCTGTAGTTCTTTTCCACCAATGGAAGCGTATCCTAAGAAGAAAACAGAAAATAACTAAAACAAACCTCCGTGTCACTGATGACTTCGCTCAAACATGGATACCTCTCCGATATCCACCTATAAAACTTTGGTACTCCCATCCCTGAAAGATTGAAAAAGTCAACTGTACATCATAAGTCACCATATCCTCACAAGGTAAGCAGCATAAAAACAACTACTCCAGCGGACAGCCTTTAAGACCACATATGATCGATATAAAACCGGCTTTCACTATCCGACCAGGAAAAAAAGTGGTCCCATCTTGCTTCATTCTTCTCTGTCCTCTCCGATCGTACGATCTCATGCATGATGGCAGGAGAAGAGCAAATTGGTACATGAATGTCAATTCAAAGCATTCCGTAGTACACAAATGTAAAAACAAAAGAAGATAGCCACGAGTGACCCAAGATATCGAGTAGTCATATTTCAATTCCTCACGAAAATAGTAGCCAGTCAACCGTAGCTGCTCTAACCCCAAAAATGTGACAGCCTCTCGACTCCTCTTGAGAAGAGGACTCGATACGAACCCTCCCCCAACCACCTCCCATGGGCCTTAGGGGGAGGGTTTCCAGTACGAAACCTCCTTCGCCAAAATCTTCAAAACGATCTGATGCGTCCCACTCCCTGCAAACGCCACCTCACTAAATGCCACAAATACGTCTCCCCTTTTTGCCTTATGGCCTTCGCCAACCTTCAATTACTACTGCCTTCCAAATAACTCAAATACGATCTACCCCCCCCACCCTTTCGGAACTGCGCAACGCACGGCTGACCCCAAACATAGCTACTGCTGATTGTTAATGGTTCTGACAACGATTGTAACACCGATCGGAGACGCATGAGGATCGGACCGACGCAGTGATGCAACCGATGCATTTCGGTTTAAACACGAATACGAACCATTACCCTTCAACGCGACCGATTCCAATGAATCTCATGATCGTGGTAATGGCTGGAAAATTTCAATCACGTTGGAGTAAAGTTCTCTGCGTGAGAATCGGCAGTGTTTTGGCAAATCATGTGATCACTGGTAGCATGCATTGTGTCGATTTCACAACAGCATCATTATGTGCTTGCTGAACCGACTTCTAAAACAACAACAAGCAGATAAAATTCCAAAAGAGCTCCAGTTCTATCAAATCTGCACATCTATAATAAATATGAGAACTAGGATCAATTTCCAAAATTTATCTGATCTTGGATCGAATCGGCTCGGATCTTATTAGAGCCTCAAACTTATGTCGACTTAAAACTTCGTGAGTACGAGCTTGATAGGACAGGTGTAGGTGTAGGTTTCATTGGTACGCAAAAATTTCCATTGAGTTCCTGAAACTCTATACTTCCGAAAAGATACAGCGGAACTTATCCATTTGGTACCCCTCCTCCCAACGGATTTTCATCGAGTGCATGCGACATCTGTGCAATCGTAATTTTGCTATCACAAATGTAAACATACGCGTAGAAATAATGCACTGTCGGGTCTCTACCAAGGGGGAGAGATGCGATAGTTACTGCCCCTACGGAAATTTTAATTTTTTTACAATTGTGCTTTCGCTTTTACACCCAATCCGGAGCACCTTCCCCTTCAAAAATTTGGGCTGTATGCTGTCGCACCACATGCCCCCTCCTTACTGCATGAGAGCCGCAACTGTGTTAATCGTTCAAACAGTTTATTTATACTGATATGCAGTTTGCACAACACTTTTACACGCGTTCTACGCCACTATACATCCCATACCGATTAGAGCTCTATTAGGTACTCAATTGAAACATAGCGTAAACATCCACATTCTGAATTTCCATTGCTAAATGGCGTCTTCTATTCGTACAAACGTGTCTGAGCATGATATATCAATTTACACAATACAGCTGTGACATAAAAACTAATAAATTGCATGGGTAAAGAATCGTAATATTAAATGTGTAATTACACCAACGAATGGATCATCGCCTACAGAACATCAAACAAGAGGTAAATAAGCACATAAACAGGGGCAAACGCCGGCAAAAGTAAAGAAACTTCCAACAATCATAAAGAAAAACTTGAACGCCTCTACAATGCAAACACTGAGTTCCTCAAGCGGCTGCGTCGCGTTGCTGTATTGGAGCGCGGCAATAACTATCGCAGTAAAACGGGCAGAGAGATAGCAGTAGACATTGGCCAAACACGGAGTGCTGCTATTGAGCGAGAGGAGGGATACTGCATCCATTTTTTCTGTCGGACGGAAATGTTATAGATTACCAGGCTCAACCGGGTTGCAGGGCGCGTCAACACTTGCAAACTGGATTTTCTCTTGCAGCGTTTCTAACAGTTAATGTTTTGTTGTCAATTACTGTTTGATTGTCAGAATTTGAACACCTGTGAAATTATCGCTTGAATAATGCCTACCGTGCCACTACAGAGGTATCGGGTCGAGTTGTTAGGTAGAAGGCCCGCCTTCGTCGTTGGTGCCCCAGAACACTGACCGTGGTGTGGGACGAGACCACCTGCTAACGTTGCTCACTCCACCAATGATGCTCGCTCAGTGTAACGTCATCCGTACCGCATTCCAGCCATCATGACCGCGCCTCCATTAACACGTTGACGACAGCGTGACGCGGTAACGCGTCCCACTTTGCACACCTCGCGGGACATTGTGACGCGGTAACGCGTCCATGTCGCCACCGTAAGTCGCCTCGCATTGTTGAAAGTCTATAATTTCCCTGAGAAGAATGTGAGTATTGTGTATGTCTATCCCTTACTATCCTGTCGGCGGAAGCCCGTCCAATATGAAGGTCATAAGGGTCTAGTGAGACTTATAATGCTCTGCATGCTCTAATGCTCCCGTGGAAGCTCTTGTCTCTGTGACTCTTTCGACAGCTCCACGGTGCAGAGCTCTCCTGGAGAACATTAGAGCGTGAATGTGCACTGCAGGACACTGCACTTTCAAGCCGTTTTGCAGCTTCCGTCTCTCTTAGATACGACCTCCTTCCCTTTCGTTCGACCGAATACGACCCTCGTTGTTCTTTGGCAACAGGGCGGTTGACCCTGCCTCCAGGGCCAGCCGTTCATTGTACCGAGTTCAACGAGGGAAGTCGTATTTAGAAGTTTAGAAGAAGTACCTATTACGATTTTTGTGCGTTTTGGATGGCGAGGAGAGGTGCGTATTGAGATTTGAAGGGGGGGCAGGGCGGTCGTGTTGTAATGGAAGTGATGTACGTGTGTAATGAAGAGATGATAGAGCGAGGACCATTTTCGACCGAGCGGTTGCGAACCAGGTGTGGCAGGACTTCAGGAAAGAACATTGGAAATAGAGGAACAGCATCTGTATTGCAAAGGCAAGGTCGGGATGAGGCGACATACGCATCCCTTTCATCACTCGCGTGGGGGTTAGCACCGAGAGCGTATGACACACATCTGGGATTAGGAAAACAGTTGCGATAATAAGGCCCTCATGTATAGTACTTGTTAGCTATCGCCGGCAAGCGTTAGCTGATGACAGCTCCCCCTGAGAGTGCGTGCGTGGCTGCAGAAGGCGTATCAGGTTGGGCTGATGCGTATTTTAACTGCTGCGCAATCTTGGAAACTAAGCAAGCCTTCCTGCTTGCTAACCTCTTCGCGGCTGTACTGTTCTTCGACCCTGTTAGGCAAGTGAAGTGACGTTGGAGAGAAGGGGTGCTCAGGGTGGCTCAAGTGTGCGTGGTATGTACCTCGCCCAGGGGTGAGGGGAGCGTGGTGATGGGGAAGGGGGTCGTGGGTGAAAAATCGGAAGCCTTTACACCAGGTGGTTGTATCTGCACAACTCCTACAACACGGACTGCTGACCCATGCGCTGTCAGGGCGACGCGCTGCACGCTGTGCGAATTAAAGGGGGCGTCATCGTCGCTTTGTGGGGGTCTGCACATACCGCCAGCGTCCTCACTCCTCTTTTTATTCCGGAAAAATCTAAGTAATTTCACACGCAAAGTTTCCTTGAATAGGAAATGACACTTCATATGATTCTTTTCCACTTGAAATATTCCATTTGAAGTTATTGGTGCACTTTGTAATGAAAGTGTTCAAACGAGAATCCATTCCGTTAATTTGAAGCGACTTCTTCAAGTGGATAGAACGCCGACAAATATCAGCTGGAAACCTTTCGTTTCGTGGGTGAGTTTCTCGAGGCGTAGAAAACACAGCATCCCGTAGAGGGTGGATGAAGAGGAATTTCCTCGGAGTCTTTGTTGGCCATATTTCAACGCTAATCGGTAAATTTTAAAAAGTAAGCACCAGAATAAAGACATCGGGTTGCTTTTGAGCGGGCACTCTAATTCCGCTTTGTTGGATAGGACAGCGAGATCATGAATGTGTTTAGTTGCGCTGATGACAAGGGGTAGGCTCAGGTGGGTTACGGCTGTTAAGCCTGCACTACGTGCTCGATAGTGAAGGATAAGAGAGATCTGCCAACAATGCTGAAGTCAAGCAGCTTTTGCTTGTGGTGCTATGACATTTGGAAATATAGGTACGGGAGGGAGGTGGAACGTCTAGAGAACGATGGTAGCGGCCATACACCATGGGTGACCCAGGAAGAGGGACGAGTAACTCCGTGGAGTAAGCTCTTGTCCTACCCACCGAAGGATTCATATTGAACATTCCCGCCCTAGCGCCTCATCTGGCCCGTGCAGACAGCTACAGTAGTCGTGTGGCGATATAACTTTTCAAGGCGAGCCCTCTTGTATGCGGTGCGGTGTTCCTATCGAATAGTAGATCTTCGGTGTTCGAGTCACGACAGGAAGTATAGTGTGTGGCACATCCTAAAAGGATTGATCAACGCCGAAAGCTGGGTAGTTTACCCATTGATCCAACCACCTCTCAATTACTCTCCCGGCTACTTGAATACTAGCTCTTGGCGTGCTGTGCCAACGTGCAGGATACCAATCGCGATGTGAATGAATTCGGATAGCAAGACTACGGAGTCTATCCTCAGCCCTCAAGCAGGTGCAATGATTTTTATCTTGGATTTGCATTCAATCCACATCTGAGCCTTGTCATGAACTCACTAGCAATCAGCGAGGCTGACACTTAATTCATCTTATAATGAGAGAAGATCCTCCATAAGGAATATCCATGACAAAATCATAT